TTATTTATTTCTAGATTTTAAACTTTATTATCTACGTTTAAGTCTTACAAAAAAGCAAACAATTACATAAATTTACTTTATTTTCCTTGTGTAACAAAAATCATACATTTAATCTTTTTCCGTTAAAAGTAAAGGTAATAGAAGAGAGCAGAGCAGTATGGTTTTAACTCGATTGAGCGAAGATCACCGGAATTAACTTTGCATTATAATTTGAGCGAAGAGTGCTTTTGCAGAAACAAAAGAAAGAGAAGAGAATTCTCCTTTGTGTTTCGCTCTGCGGGTCTCTGGGCGCGTATTTCCAGGATTGTGATTGCCGCAGCAGGAAATAAATTGCATTGCCATGTATACACATACACACACACACAAACTTATTTAAGTATATGCATTGATTGATAAACGATGGTGTAATAGAACGAAATCGGATCACAACCGCTTTAGTTGTTCGGATTACCGATGGATGGCGTCGCGGTGCCCTCGCCCCCTGAACCGGATGATGGATTCCGGCGCGTCGGTCCCTAATCCCCGACAGGATTAACACCTGCTCGCGGTTTACGCCTGCTGATTAAATGTAATGCCGGAGCACTTGTAGTGTAACTGCGGAACGGCCTCAGTTTCTGTTTAACTTGCTAATCCTCAACCCTCTCACCCTGTATATTATTAACTTTGCTTGCGTACACATCGCATTCCGCACTGGATCCGTGTCTATTTACACGTATTTATCCTGTCGTAAGTCTCTCCTCAGCGAGGCTACCGCAAACAACACAACATATTCTGACATTGAACTTAAGTCAATTTCTTTTGTTTATTTTGTTTTTCCTCTCTCTCTCTCTTCTACTTTTTCTTTGCATGTAACACGTCGCACGAAGAAACTTTCCTGTTCCATTTTAGCGACAATATTAAAACTCACTTTACTCGCGTCGAACTTATCTTGCGGACTTTCGCTAATCGATAAATAGTATCCTTATTAAAACAAAAGAGCATCGAAAAGACGAAAATTTCAAATTACTCCGAAAGTTTCCATCCCGAGTCTTTTCAATAACTTCTTTTCTTTTTCATTTTGTTTTTCATAAAGTTGCATAAAACCATTTTTGTTTTAATCATCTCTCTATATCTGAAATTTAATTATATAATCCAATAAATCGAGATGTCCGATCTACTAAACAATTGCATTCGCGTAACAAAATAATATATATTTTTAGAATGTAATTAAAAGTGATGTAATCATTTCGAAAGTGTAATTATTGTAAAAGGGAAATCAAATAAATGCTCTTTATCTCTGAGGGTTTTGCGAAACTTGGCCGTACACAATGGTCTTTTGAAGAAGGGCAAGCGGTCACATAAACGCGTCTTGTTTTCTGAAAATGTTTCATCGCTGAAAGGAAAACAAGTGTAGGGCTTATTTGAATAATCGATGGATGCGAGAAGGGAGGAAAAGGGTAGAAAGCGTAGAGTCTCGATTTCAATGGGAAACCCGCCACGTCCCGTCGCGCCGCTCCGCTTCCATTCATAATGATATTAAAGGGAAGTTGCGTAATTACATTACACGCGGGTTGGCGCCTACTTGTTGAGGACGAAAGGGCTTCCAAGTACACACACACACAACGGTATCATTGTTACACGTTGCCCCTTTCGTCGTCATCTCTCTCTCTCTCTCTCATTAAACAAACTTTGAAGCGTTTGATTGCATTATTATTATTATTTTGCCCCACATGAAATTGCACATTATTTTTTGTTTTTTCACCGAATTGCAACGCGACAAACGCCCGTTAATTGTGGCGCGAAATCCGAAACAAAACAAACGAGTCAGCAAAAAAATTTATTTAAAATAAACAGCGATGGCGTTCGCAAAAATAAATGAGCGCCGAAACAGGAGACGAACAAAAACATAGTACCAAAAAAAAAAAACAATCACGGACCTCTGCCCTTTTATAAAGTAATCAAATACAGTTGAATTTTAAAGCCGCGTCGAGCAGGACAATAAATTCTCGCACTCGCCGTCGTTATGCAACTACTGCTGGATACAAAAACATTGAGCTAAACTAAAGTTTTTCCAAAAATAAACACGAATTTCGAATGCTTATCGAAGGTTTGTAATTAGCGAGAGGCGCGCTATTAAATTAAGCGAAATTAATGAAATATTTATCTCGTTACGAAGATTCCTCTTTGGAATCTTGTCTCTAACTATATGTCTTTGGAGCGCGAAGAAAACGATGTGATGGGACGAGGGGTGTGAGAATACTTGAATCTCGAGGCCCGAAAAGATGGAAAGGAATGAGAAGAGAGCGAGAGATAAAGAGGGAAAATAAAAATCACCATTTCAAATCTGCGCTTCGTGTCGAGGGTTTGTTTGAAAATCGCAAATGAACCCAATCACGGGGCGGGGGGGTGTACGCGCGCTTTAAAGGGACGAGAGCGAACGAGCGAACGATTTGCACAGATTGCTCTTCAAAAATATACGTAATAAATCATGTCGTCTTCGCTAACGAGGAAGCGTCCGCAAAGGCAGGACCGGGCCGAGAAATAAGGTGGTCTTCTGATCATCTGGTAAATTGCTCGCTCGACGATCCTTCGCTGTGCCAACAATTAACGCAAACTTAAGTAATCAATAGCTATTTTTTGTTACAATTTTCATTATTAGTTCACATTTTGATCACGAGATGACTCTTTAGGTCAGTGATTTCCAAACTGCGACGATGAATCAGTTGCACCTGCGGATCTCAAACGTTACAACAACTCACGACGAATTTACGCAATGACTGAAGTCTTTATGCCTTATAATCTCTTTTTATCTTCATTGTTTAGCCAATTAAATAAAATATTATATGTTAGAATTGAATTTAAATCTTGGTTACAAATAAAAAAAAGAAACTAGAATCAGTGAGGATTATTGTGCAAACTGAAGTTGTAAGGTTTAATATAGTTAAGAGCGCTCGATAAACAGGAAGTATCTGCATAGATACACACGCTGTACAAACTATAAGTTCAGAATTTAAGTAAATATACATTGCACACATACCTACATTTATGTAGTTGCGGATCTGGAATGGAAGAAGGTGTGTGCATGTGTGTGTACAAGGAACGTGTACATTCGAGGAATTTCCACAGCGCGCAGAAAACGAGGTAAATCAACACACCGTGTGTTTTCGTAAGACGTGTTCTATTACAGTAATGAAAACGGTCTCCCTCTCTCTCTCTCTCTCTCTCTTCATCCTTCAGTTAATTTATGCCGAAGCCCTTTAGCACGAATCCCTTCTGTCTGTTTGAAAACATCGCGATCATCTTCATCGTGATGATGATATTGTAATTTAATTGGAGACGCAATCAAAACAGATATCCGGTTTCACATCTTCCCACAAAAAGGATGTCGCAAAAGAAAAAAAAAAGTGAGAGAACGGAAGTGAGTAAATGGAAAGGATAACATGTAAATCAAAGTGCTGTCTTCATTAAATTCTAAGATAACTTTATTTGCTTCCAACGCGGAAGTGTTTTTTTTCTCTCTTCCCTTTCTCTTCTTCCCTCCAGATGCTGCTACGTCCCTCGCGCATTCTTATTTTTCTTTCCCCTTTTGCTCATCACGGGTTTCGCGAGGGTCGCGCGCCAGAATTGAAAAAAAAATTGTTCGAAAATGAGACATGCGAAGACAGTTTAAAAATAAGACTACCAAAAGCGAATCTCATCCACTCCTTATTTTCTTTTTTTAAAATATTTATCTCCTCCGCCGCCGCCTTCCGCAAAGTCCCCGGGATTTAATGAACGTCCTTTATGTTTGCATTTGCATAACGGAGCCACTTTTTTTTTTCTTCTTCACTTTTCCTTCTTTTCATCCTGTTATCTATCCTTTTTTTCTCACTGTCAACACGACAACTTCTTCTCATTATGCTGATGCGACTAATTTTTGTTCCTCCTTCGCAGCAAACGCACCGAAACTTTCCCATCACCAATCGATGAACAAAGACTCTAATATTTCTTAATACAAAATAATAATAGCGTCCCTAGTAACTAGAAAGAGTCCTTAGTAACTGTCAATAGTTGTTTGCTAACAGAGCTAATGTCATTAGGAACTATCATCAATTGCTTAGAGTCCTCGACAACTGTCAATAGTTTTTTTTTACTAACAGTGCCAACGTTATGAGGAAATATCATCAAATTGCAAAGTCATTACTTGTTTGTTAACATATCGCAGTTTCCACAAATTGTTAACTTTGATTTGATTCTTTCCAAATTGAATCTTTGAATCGAAATTTTACAATAATCGAACATAATTTACAAAGTAGAAAATATTTTTTCTATGTTAATTACAGTTAAATATCAATAAAAACGTTGTCAATAGCAATATTTTAAAATAAACTTTCTTAATATTTAATTAGTAAAACAATAAATTATAAGCATTTGATGATTTCATAAATTGAATCTTCGAAGAAAACGTTTATCGATTTACGTTTGCGAAAGCATTAATCGGCTTAAACCTGGGATTGAACGCATGCAAATGCGGATTGTGAGCAGCGGTAATCGCCTGCATCGATACGCGCTTAATCTTTGCAAAGTAATCAAGTGATCCTTATCCAGATTAACTCGCAAATCCACTAGTTTTCCAACTTAAAATTCCGCATTTAAGCATCATTACTGTATCAGCTATAGTTTTGATTACACAACAACTCAATTACGCACTTGCATTCGATTAAAACTCGAAGAATTATTGTCAATTATCGAAAATGTAAAAAAAAAAAACCCGGCGCATCCACAATTTATTTTAACATTTTTGTTTCTTCGTGGTTATTTTAAGAAAAGAAAAACTATTAAAATTCAATTGTGATTTAGTCGTTTTGCAAACGCTTATATAAAAGAGTAGGGTAGAAAAATGGAAGCAATCAAAATCGTAATGCCGGGTACTTTCGTGTGACATTAATTGTTTTTGCGGTCTTAGTTTTTGATAAATATATGTCTGCAGATGTATATGTATACGTGTAAGTAATTTATGTGTGTGTGTGTGTGTTTTACAGGCGCAGCAACGCCAATAAAACATCTGTCCTTGCGGAGTCTGCTGCCAGATACAGAGCATTTTATGACTTACGAGGGATCCACGACCCATCCTGGATGCTGGGAGACGACCGTCTGGATCATCCTCAACAAGCCCATTTACATCACCAAACACGAGGTTCGTACCATAAGACTCTTATAAAATTGTATATACGTATATAGTTAGTTGAGGAGACCCAAAGGCAACTTAGAAATATTATCTCCCTTACAATAAACCCGAAATCCCGCAATAAAATATTACCCCATCTATTTGTATAATGCTCAAATAACTCGTCTCTACTACTACTTTTACTCATTCCCTCTAACTATCTCTATCTTCATTTGTTTGTTTCTTTTGTTTTATTATACACTCGGTATCTCTGTCTATCTCCACTTGACTTTTATAGGTTTTTATTAAAAATCTTGCTTGTGAATTTGTTCAACTTCGTAACTTTCGAATATGAAGTAATATTCCTTCAATTTCATATCCGTCTCTTGCGTATGAAATAAAATGTATTCACATTTATGTCATGGTGTTTACAATTACAGCATTACCTCGCACAGTACGGACTGTTTGAAATCGAATTTTAAAAAAGACTTGTTTATTTAAAATTTACTTTTATTCAATTAGAATAACAAATTTGAATTCGGATTGATCGATACCGGACTATGCGAGCTATTTTTGTATAAAGATAAATGATATAAAAAAATATTTGATATTCATATTTATGACATTTCTATATGAAACAAAATAGTAACAATTATTTCATGACAATCTATGTTTATATTCAAAAATAGTGAAGAAACAAAATACTTACACTTTATTCATGACAATCTATGTTTATATTTAAAAATGAGAGTAGAAACAAAATAGTAACAATTTATTCATGACACTCTATTTGTATGTTTATGTTTTTCAAAGGAAAACACGTTAAATTTAAAGGATACGCGTTTTTTTATATGTGATTTTCTTGTCCCCTTCTGTTTTCAATCGTTTCTTTGCAGCTTGTTTTCTCTGTAAAATGAAAATTAATGGACTAGTTGGCAACGGTGCGCGATTAGTGCGGTATTAATAGGAACGGATTGGACCCTCGACGAATGCGAGCCGTATAAAAATTTCGCCGTAATCAAATTGTAATCAATTTATCCTGCGCCATAGAAAAGGGGGATGATGCTGCTGCTGCTGCTGCTGCGATGAGGGAAAGGGGAATCCCCGGTACAATTAATCGAAGTAATCTGGTTAACACCGAATGGCCATTTCCACATTTATCAATCCGCAATGGGACGTAGGCGGCGGCGGTCGCCAAAATGGTCCCCGAGGGACGGCTCGGACATTTCATCCCATTCCGTATATAGCGAGGAGCAATAGATAGATGTAGTATACGTATATAGTGTGAGTGGACGAGTGTCCGCAATATTACATATATATGTGTGTATGCGTGTTTGTGTACATTGAGGACCCGAACCGGATGTAGCGACGGAAATAAGTGAATGCAGAATGTGAAAAAAACAAAAACACACACACACGACCCTCTTGATCCGAGCGTTTCGTCGCCCGTTCTGCTGCTTGTAACGCGCGTGCCGCTTCCATAAATGTTTATTATCACTTTGGAGATTGTTTACATCGTGAACTTTTAGTGCTTTATATTATGCACGTGTTGAACATGAATATGTCCCGGCGACTTTTGGCTTTGATCCAAGACCTTCCGCCGCTTTGCTTTGCTTCGCAGGTACAAAGAAGAAATCTCTCCAGCAAAAACAGTATTTTACGCCTCTCCATAGAATAATCTGCATAATTACATTCACCTTCTTTTTATTCGAAACTCAACTTTGAAAAGCATTTTTTTTCTATATATAATTTCATCCAATTACAACTAAAAGTAAACAAGCAAAAAATCGCTAATTTTATTTTCTTTACAAGACATAAAACAATTTAATTATGTCTAACAATAACATTGAAAGGATAATCTAATTCTTAACAATAACTATATAAGATATTAGAAATGAAAATCTTGATTCATAAATAAAATGTAAGTATTGCAAACTCTCAAATTTAGTGTAAACTTAATTCAATTTATATAAAGCAAGCAAACATTTTGAATGTCCAAATGAACGTAAAGATGAAAAAAAAACTGCAATTACTCACGTTAATATTATAAAATCAAAAGAGGTTTTTTTTCACTATGTGTATTATAATTCAGAAACGAAAAGGAAACATGAATAATTGCTTCGGTTCTGAATGTTTAAGACTTTTCATCTATTATCAATTTATGGTACGGCGCGCCCGGTTTCAGCATGAAAGAGGATTACAGAAAATAAGAGAGAAAGACACACACACACACACGCACACATACAGTGAAATATAGAAAGTATAGAGAAAGAGAAGTATCATTAATTATTTTAAATTAAACTAACGTCCCCGAGGCCTCGACATGCCGACTTCCATTCCGAGCTCCCTCGCTTTTTATGCACTTTTCTCCCAAAGCCGCATCCCTTTCATTGAATGCTCGATTTTTTTAAAGAATGCCACCACGGTTTTCATTGCATAAATCGATACGCGCCAATACTATGTTTCTTTTACTGACCTTATTACAATCATTTTGTAATTAATAACACTTCTCATTTCGTATAAAACAATTTGATGATTATGAAACTTACCAAAAGAAATGTCAAATTTGACAGATTATAACATATGAACCACGTATACCTTAAAGCTCTTAGTGGATTCTCTTAAAAGATCCGAGTTTTATCTTAAACACGCATTTCCAATGATATAATAGGCTTGCGTGGTTCTTGAGTAATCACATGAAAGGTGAAGCCACTTCTTCTCAAACAACTACCAAAGTTTGAAAGCTTATAACAAACGAACAACGAATACCACAAACATACCAGTGGATGCATTGGAAACATCACTATTTTGTTTATAAGATGCATTTTCAATGATGCCAATCGATGAACAAAGACTCTTGAAATTGAAAATCTAATATTTCTTAATAAAAAATAATAATAGCGTCCCTAGTAACTAGAAAGAGTCCTTAGTAACTGTCAATAGTTGTTTGCTAACAGAGCTAATGTCATTAGGATCTATCATCAATTCACTTTTCTCCCAAAGCCGCATCCCTTTCATTGAATGCTCGATTTTTTTAAAGAATGCCACCACGGTTTTCATTGCATAAATCAATACGCGCCAATACTATGTTTCTTTTACTGAGCTTATTACAATCATTTTGTAATTAATAATACTTATTATTTCGTATAAAACAATTTGATGATTATGAAACTTACCAAAAGAAATGTCAAATTTGACAGATTATAACATATGAACCACGTATACCTTAAAGCTCTTAGTGGATTCTCTTAAAAGATCCGAGTTTTATCTTAAACACGCATTTCCAATGATATAATAGGCTTGCGTGGTTCTTGAGTAATCAAATGAAAGGTGAAGCCACTTCTTGTCAAACAACTACCAAAGTTTGAAAGCTTATAACAAACGAACAACGAATACCACAAACATACCAGTGGATGCATTGGAAACATCACTATTTTGTTTATAAGATGCATTTTCAATGATGCCAATCGATGAACAAAGACTCTTGAAATTGAAAATCTAATATTTCTTAATAAAAAATAATAATAGCGTCCCTAGTAACTAGAAAGAGTCCTTAGTAACTGTCAATAGTTGTTTGCTAACAGAGCTAATGTCATTAGGATCTATCATCAATTCACTTTTCTCCCAAAGCCGCATCCCTTTCATTGAATGCTCGATTTTTTTAAAGAATGCCACCACGGTTTTCATTGCATAAATCGATACGCGCCAATACTATGTTTCTTTTACTGAGCTTATTACAATCATTTTGTAATTAATAACACTTCTTATTTCGTATAAAACAATTTGATGATTATGAAACTTACCAAAAGAAATGTCAAATTTGACAGATTATAAACTAGATTCATTATATTATTTGCAGATTTATGTTTTTGGTAAAATAAGCTCAGGTTTTCTGAAGTAATGTACTTTGTCTCAGATTATAACTAGAATTCATTATATTAATTTTGCAGATTTATTGTCTTTTGGTAAAATAAGCTCAGGTTTTACTGAAGTAATGTACTTTGTCTCATTCATATATAAAATTATAAAAAATTAAAACATTTAATTATAGATTGAATTAACTTTATAAATTAAAGAAATTCACAACAAAATTATTGAATTGTAGTGCAAACGTAGATTTTATTATATTATTTAGATTTATTGTCTTTTATTAAAATAAGCTCAAGTTTTACTGAAGTAATGTACTTTGTCTCATTCATATATAAAATTATAAAAATTACAACAAATTAATTGGAATAACTTTATAAAAGTAAGAAATCGAAAAAAATGATAATTTTCTACAAAATTATTAAATTATACTGATTTTACGATATTATTTTATTGCATTTTAGTGAAGTGAGCTCAGGTTTTCTGCGAGAAAATTTGTCTTATTCATATATAAAATTATAAAAAATTAAAACATTTAAGTTATAAAGATTGAATTAACTTTATAAATTAAAGAAATTCACAACAAAATTATTGAATTGTAGTGCAAACGTAGATTTTATTATATTATTTAGATTTATTGTCTTTTATTAAAATAAGCTCAAGTTTTCCTCAAGGAAATGTAATTTGTCTGATTTTTATATAAAATTATAAAAAATGATTGAACTAACTTTAATTGTAAAGAAAACGTTTCTATATTCTATCAGATATCTGTTATTATTGTGTGAATTGTATTGAACTTCGAAATACCTTAAAGCTCTTAGTGGATTCTCTTAAAAGACCCGAGTTTTATCTTAAACACGCATTTCCAATGATATAATGGCTTGCGTGGTTCTTGAGTAATCAAATGAAAGGTGAAGCCACTTCTTGTCAAACAACTACCAAAGTTTGAAAGCTTATAACAAACGAACAACGAATACCACAAACATACCAGTGGATGCATTGGAAACACCACTGTTTTGTTTATAAGATGCATCATTGCATCATTGATTAGCGTACATGATTGTCGAATAATTAAATAAAAGGTTAAGACACTTATTTTTCAAATGAAAAAAAAACTGTTTTTTCTTTCTTTCCTCATGTTATTAATTTTTTTTTCTGTATTATTTTTACAGCTGTACGCTTTGCGCAAATTGATGCAAGGAACGGAGGACGCCCCGAAGGCCCCGCTGGGCAACAACGCGCGGCCCATACAGCCGTTGCATCACCGCACGATCCGCACAAACATCAATTTCCAAAACCAACCAACCAAGGTATATAACCACTCAGATTCCTTACTAAAAAAAACATTTAATTCGTATCCATCAGTAAACATTACGAGAGCATAAATTAATGTACTTCGTAATATTATAGTTTAAATATTTGCCAAGATTTACATGTCTAATCATATATTTTTTTTTATTAAATTTAATAAAATGAAGAAATACAAAAATGTTCTCTACGTTGAATGTATTTGCACGAATCTGTTATGATAAAGCGAAATCGAATATTTGTATTGTAAATATTGATGAGGAAGACAGAGAAATGGAAGATAATAAAAATGGGTTGGAATTTAATAAAGATCTTGGATGCCTTTGGGCATGCCAATTCAAGATTGTTTTTCTTTTTTTTTGGTTAATTGTAAATGAAAGATTTTTCTTGATTTCGTTTGCAAAACGGTTTTGTATGGAAAAGTCGTGAATCGTAAAAAGTGTAAGGTAAGTGTGTCGCTGGATGGCGTGCGCGACGGTGGTGCTAATGTGCACTTTGCATGCTGCCGTTTGGAAGTCCTTGCTTGCAGGGTGATAGATGACTTTCTTAGTGGGTTGTTCGAACCACCCCCAAAGGAGTGGCGCCACTGCCTCTGCTACTGCTGCCGCCGCAGCCAACCCCAACTTAATGGGACTTCTATTGAGGGAAAATCGGTAATTGAAACTGCAAAGTGCGACCGGAATATGACCGATAAATTCGTATATAAACGCGGTTTGTATTATATCGCATGATTTATTGGCCGCCACCCTTATTTCCAAACCCACATTCAACCGAAACCCCATTTCATAACGACAAACATTATTTTCAATCTACAATTATTCGATTCTTAAACAATGCAATCTATATTTCTCATGCAACTCTATATGTAAATCAAACCAAAATCAAGTTGTCACCTATTTATTACTTTAATATAATATTATACTTTTTTCATTACTTAAAGGACATTTCCTTAATTCATTAATAATTTAAATCTTTTTGTATAAGTAAGTTGTGTTAATTAACTAAGTGTAATTAATTTAATGAGAATGACAACAATTTCTTTTTTGTTATATACATTCAAAAATGGCGATCTAAATCAGCTGATTATTCAACAAATGTCAAAATGACAGTTAATAGATGCTGACATATCATTACTATTATTTCTTTACCTTTCACAAACAATAAAATTTTTGTCCTTGAATTTACGACAAAATCTTTTCTGGTGAATCAAATAATAAATATGCTATAAAAATATTTTTAATATTAGCATATTTTTTTAAAACGGCCACATAAAACAGCTGTTTACTAAGCAAATGTCAAAGTGACAATATCTCTTATTGTCACTTATTTTCATCAAAATTATTTTTGTACGTTACATAAACAAAACAATTATTGTTTTTGTATTTACGACTAAATCCGTTCTAGTGAATCAAATAAAAATATGAGAATAATATAAATTGTCGTTTCTTATTTAATTTTGACTTATATTTTTAATAACTTCAAACAGCTGATCATTAAGCAAATGTCAGATTGACAGTAACATATGTTGTCATATCAATTTCGTGCAGCAATTTAATGATGTTAAAGATACAATAAAGTCATTATTCCATTTACAATGAGCGTACGAGGCAAATGAAACACTCGTAGTCCTTGCGTTTGCGATTAAATCCTTTCGTGTGATAACATCAAAGGGAAACGTAATACTGCAAATATAATACATCCAACTGCAATGGCTTCGTTTCGCGTAAAGTTTTCCTAATTGGCCGAATCGTTCAGAAAAAAAGAAATATCACATTGCAACTGACACATTTCACCAAACTCCACATAAAGCTCATCAGATTTTTTCTTTTATTTGGGCACAAATTTTCAATAGATTAATAATTCCATTGTGTAATTTAGTTCTATCGTCATTTTAACAAAATTATTCAGTACGTCGAAAGATTCTGTTTAAATTTTTAAAATAAATTGGATGTGCCCCGTATAAATTCATGAATGTGTTGTGGGACGTACGTTAACTTTGACCTTGGATTTGCATACGTTATGCATTCGAATTACGCGATGCATAATGGGTTGCATAATATGTAAATTCGCTTCGCGACGTTTAGCTTCAGTTTACGTAGCGGTGGGCGTCCAAATTTCCCTCTCCCACTGGGACGCTCGGTTACATCGTCAATTCGATTACGCCGCACGTACAAAGTGCGCCGAAATTTACACACGACGCGACAAATAAAATTATCGACGAACTTTATTTCATCAATAATTTCGACCTGGTTCGTTATCGCATCAATTTGCTTCTGAATGTATCATTGTGGTCATAATCAACAAACAATGTTTAAAGTCATACAAAACACTTTTCATCATGGCACACTCTTCGTTTATAAACAAAAATTGCAACAAAAGAAGATTTCATGACACTCTTTATATTTTGTAGAAATAAATCTGCTCGGGTCTACAAACAATAGTACAATTTAATTATGAGGCCCTTCGTGATTTCTTTTACATTATACTAAAGAATAGAGAAATACATATAGTACAATTCACAATTTAACTTATCTGGATATTTCTTGGAGTATTTAAAAAGTTTAATATCAATTCAAATGTTTACACATTTACTGGTTAATATTATTATATAAAGCCTCAACAGTTCATAAATTGAGTTACCATTTCGAAATATACAAATTTATCTTAATAATAATAATATTTATTGTAACAATATCATAATTCAAACTTAACACAATAACAAGAAATGAAACTAGATTAAGAAGTTTAATTTTTTGTAGATTTTTGACTTGTGCAATGTGGCCAGCATCCACAGCTCCTTTTAAAAATAATTTGACGTACGAAGACTTCTTCTCGTAATCAAAATTATAAGTATTTTTCATCTATTTAATAATGGCCTGGTATGAGGATCCATTCCGATCCTTCATCTCAATTATGGCATTGCTAAACATCTGTGCTATTGTCAGCTTCATGTTGAATACTTTGCCAAATTATTTATTTTATCAACGTTTATTTTTCCACTAGGTATAGTAAATTCTTTTTTGTGCAGTCTATTTCAATTTTATTTATATCCTCGATTATTCGAACAGTTATTGTTAAGAAAGTTTGCATTTATACAGAAAAAAATGAGAATTAAACAAAATTGACATTTGACATATTGAAAAATGTCAATTAAATAAAATATTTTTTTTTGAAAATTATTGTTTTAAAGGCATGCTATGATTACAGACATAAATTGAAATTGTAACAGAAAGCGTAACCAATGTTACGGTTACTTTAGCTTCTTATATCTGAATTGAAAAAAATGGCAAGAAAATAAAATAAAGGAAAATTTTCAAGGCACATTTGATTTATTTATATAAATATTAAATCTATGGTTGCATAACTTTAAAAACAATTGGTATTTCATGCAGTATAATCAATATTTACCGATATATTAATATAGAAATATTGGTTTTAACAATAAAACACTTGTAAAGTAATAGCGTAATGCTAATAGTTTATGTTTTGGTAATAAAAAAAACAACGTTGAACAATAGTATTTTTTGTGGGTAAAGAGCGTAATGGACATGTAGTGCCGGAATTAAATGGAGTAATCCTTTCGTGATGCACCGGTCCGAGGTAAATTGGATTAATTGGAACACGCCAACAGCAACAACAACCAGAAAAAAAAAAACAAAAACAAGTCGCCTGCGTATTTAGGTTCGGTATTATTTGCGATAACTGTTGTCGCTTGCAGCGGAGAGGGTTTTTGGGTGAGGATGAAAATGCATGATGAAATGCGAGCGCGGAAACGCACAATTACGTGAAACGCGAAGCCACACTTACTCTACAAATTGAATTCGTCCTGTTGACTGGATAATTGCATATCCACTGTGCCTTCAATTTAATCCCATTTAATCCGGAAGCGCGCGGCACGCTGTGAGCCGCGAACGCAAACGCGCTCGAAAACAAAACAAAACAAAAGACATGAAAAACAGAGGCTTCGCGATTTTCGAACATTTCCGTGATGGAAAATGGTGACGCCTCCGCGCGGAAACAAAAAACGCTCGGCTCTGGGGGTTCCAGGTTTCCAATTTCCGGATTTTCGGAGGGTCCATTCCGGATACTCGACCAAAAAAACGCACCGAAATATTCAGATTCCCAAAATTTTCGGACCGGATCTCATTTCCGTGCTTTTCCGGGTTCGCGCGCGCCTATTTTCATTTTCTTAAGAGGAATATTCCGCTCACGTAGCTGGAAACCCCCTTTCCCTCCATTAGCGTTTCGCCATTAAAATGCGACACACCCGGCCGGATATAATTGCGGAATAAACTACCCCGAAAACTATTCGCACCGGCGAACACTTTATTATTATTCCTTTAATATCAACGAGTATATATAACTTTGGTTTAGTTTGTTTCTTTTAAATGCTAACGGCTTTTTTTCTACTCTTTCTACTCTTTCAACGCTTATAAGGAGCAGACAATTGCTAAACAATGCATGGAATTTATGGGAATCTCGGGTGTGAGGTGAAACCTATTAAGAAATTACACGCAACAGAAAGAGAGAGAGAAAAAGAGTGCAGCAAAATAAAAAAAAGTTTGGATCGATTAGCGAACGTCCTGGCATTTCGTGCCGCAGCACCCTTAACATTTCATTCAATAAATGTTACACGCCTCCGGATTTAAACACTTTGTTTTCGTGTTCTCCGCTTGTCTTTCTCCCTTTGTCTTTCTATATTTATATATATGGGGTTGGCAACAAAGTAATTGCCTATTTTCTTAAACAAATGAAACATCATTTTTTCCATTTTGATCGATGACATTTTGTCATCTTTCCATCAACTTCATTATCCCACGCTCATTGAACTTCTTATGTAATGTAATGTAATTTCACAATGTTATCATTATCAGATTTACCAACTCTTGAATTGCGAGTTTGACAACCATACAATGCACAATACCTTTGTAATCCCACCAAACTGACAGCATTATCTTCTTTTAGTACATTTCAGCTTTCTGTGTTGTTTGCACTGGTTCATTTTCTTTAGACCATGGTTTCGTTCGATGTTATGATAAACTATCCACTTTTCCGTTTTAAAAAGGTTCGTTTTCATTTAGTTTGAGACGCAAATCGCAAATGTTAAAGCGTTGAGTTAAATGAAGTTTCTTTAATTGTGTTTTAAACGATTTTCAATTGTTACCAGATTTTTGACAGAAAAATCACCAGAATGAAATTTATCAAACCAATTCCGACACTGTCATTCTTTTAGAGCTTCATCACAATACACAACACTTCTTTACTTTTAGTAAATAATAAAGCAAAATATGATGAAAATGAACAAACTAATCTCGCAAATAAGCTAGACTATAAAATTATAACATTGACAGAAGTCATTCAAAACAAAACACTACTGCCAACCAAATTACGAATCGACAATTACTTTGTTGCCAACCCAATATATCCAAAAGAGCTATTTTCCATCAGGATTTTCAAACTTTTTGTTACTACGCCTCCATTGACCAAAAAAAGCAAAGCCTTGTTAACTTCCAATTTATTGATTTTGTTTTTCCTGATTACATCACTAATATCAGTCAGGATGAATTCAATAGAAATATTTTGAAACCAATTTATATTTTCAATTTTTTTCCGCTGTTCTCATATATAATATTCATCTCTAATTAAATTATAAAATAAACATGAAGCATTATATCTACACTCATTTAATACGTTACAAATGCATCAAACAAATTAATTTATCGTAAATTAAATCGGCGCATCCAACATATTTTGTAATTCAATTTACTAAAGTGATACAAAAAAAAAGCGCAGAATCATTTCGCCTCGAATTAAATTATAAAATAAACATTAAGCATTATTTTTCACACAACTAATTTCATTAAAACACTTTAATTTATCAATTATTTTATAAAATAATTCACAAACAATTAACTTTAATCAATTTTCTAATACATCTCAATATTAATTATTGTAAACGACTATATTTTCTTCTATTTTATTATTATTTAATACATTTATTTTTTTAATAAATAGAAACATTTTCCATTGTTTTTAACAAGAACTTTTCGTTAAGATGAATTTCTGTTGCTTAAATTTGAAAATTGTGAATTAAAAACATTCATTTTCGTATGTTTATTGAATTTTACACACCCAATAATAAAATTATATATTTTTAATTAAAACATAATAAATTTTGCTAAAAGCACCATACAAAATACACAACGTTACCCGGCGCATCCACCCTCTCCACGTTTGGTTCGGTTTTGTTAATTATTTTCATCACATTCAGAACTTTCAAAATAATTTCTCCGGTTATTCATGTTCGCCGTGTAAATTAATTTCGGTGTCGTTGCGTATTATCAACAGGACGGATTACCGCTCCAAAAAACCGAAACGTTCTTTATTAAATCTGCACGATCTCCGTATTAAATCTGCAGCATAGAAAGCCTGGTTATTCAGAAGTGCGGAATCACCCTCGTCATTTCCCATCCATCCGCCAAATATTAAATCCATTCAAGCAACACGCATACAAATATACTGTGGAAAGAGAGAAAAAAGTACATGTATAAAGTTAATTTCGTATAACTAAATACATCTCAGCATTTACTTTTTTATATTCAAACCCGGTTTTTTTTGTTACATCAAAAGGAAATCTCTTTTTTTGTATGTTTATACTTTATTTTCAATGTAAATAGTGCTTTTTTATGATCATCAACCACCAAAAATTACTGTTTTTATTAATAAATTTCCATTGGAAATGTAAAAATCTTAATTTACGTTTCTAAAAGTTTATACATAATAATTTGTATGTTTATCAATGATATTTTATCAAGAAAATTGAATGAAAATTGTATCTTTTTTTTTAAAAGTTAATTTAAAAAAATTGAAAAATTAAAATTTCATACTTCTTTTATCAAGTGTGCACAATTTTACAAAAAAATTTGTCTTTAAGACAAATTGAAAATAAAAATCTCAATAATAAATGTACATATTGAACAAATTTTGATTATTTATTAAAAAAATTTTCGTTTTTAAGAACTTTGAAAACAAAATTTTCTCAAATTAAAAACTAAATGAAAATATTGAACACATTTTCGAAAGCGAATTACTTCCAAATGAATGAAACCACATTAAAATTTGATCACGCATTACATTCCCCAAATATCCAACTTTCATATGCATTTCTTGGATCCATTCTATCTAATATAGTTTCTGCGAAAATCTCTAAAATGTGAATTCACAGCGTTCATTTTTTATTACTTGATATTTTCATAATGAATTACAGTCAATTGGATGAAGCCACAATGAATGAAAATGTTGAATAAATCAGAATATATCAGAATCAATGCAAATATTGAACAAATTTTTGATTATTTATGAAATGTGTAAAAATTTACCAAATTTTTTGTTCTTAAAAACAATTGAAAACTAAGAAATAAATGAAAACATTGAATTTTTTTTTGATTATATAATAGATTTGTACAAATTTGTAAAATTTTTGTTTTCAAGAGGTAATTCGAAAATGAGAGTATGAAGAAAACTTAATTCCAATTAAATTTTTTTTTTTTTTAGATATATGTACTGCAATAACATAGGGTGTGATATAAAAAATGTAGACTGTTATGGGCTTTAGCCTCTTTCAGCCTTCTGTGATTAGGGTTTACAAAACAAAAAAAAAAACATCAACAATAATTATAAGAAAATAAACAGAGATTGAAGAACACAAATAAATATTAGTAACAGAGTAACAGGACACAAATATATATGCACTTAAACAAATCACATCACTGCATGAAAAAACGAATAAACGAATGTTTTACATCACTGAGGGGGAGTGTTTTTTAAAGTCTTGGAGAAGTTGTATTAATGTGGGGTCCTTGGAGTTAGCGTAGGATGCCAAGAAAACTTAATATTCAACTTTCATATGCATCTTTTGGATCCATTCTAATATTTCATATTTTCAACGTGAATTACAGCCGAATTTATGAAATGTGTACAAATTGAACAAACTTTGATTATATAACAGAATTGTACAAATTTATTAAATTTGTTATACAGTGGAAACTCGCTTAACGAGTTTAATCCTTTCCAAAATTTCCGGATTTTTATTCGTATTGTGAAACACGTACACTAGTTTTAAAATTGATGTAGCAGGCGCACAATCCTGGACTTCTCCTCATCACTCGTTATGCAAAACTTCGCTTGTTAAGCGAATCATTTTTCTTACAATTCGTTTTGCTCGTTATGCGAGGTTCCACTGTATATCAATTGTGTACAAACGTATTAATTTTTTTGTTTGCTTTTGGCAATAGTGTAAATGTTTCTAACACGTGTCGTGTTTGTTTTGTTTTACAGAATAGCAACTGTCCAAGTATGTACAAGGAGATGTATTACAAAGGTAATTGAAGCAATACACTAGATCTTTGTTCCACTCTTGTTCAAAATCCTGCTGCTGCCTTTTGCACTGTTCTCACTCTCTCTCTCTATATATATATGCATATATATATACACACATAGTTATGCATGTGTGCGTCACATAAAGGTTCCCATATTAAACCTAATGGAGCTATGTTGTTACAGCTAATAAATGGAGTCCCGATGTCAAGGACCATCCGTTCCTCGCCCTGCAGCATTCGCTCCATTGAAGCAGGAACCATCCGCACTTCAGCAGGACGAGGAGGAGTAGAAGTAGAAGAAGGAGAGGAGACAAAGCTCGCCACTCATAACTTAATAGTCAATAAAGAAGTTTCGTCGCGCGAACCCGGAGCATCCCCCACCC